GACTTGTAACCGTGCACTCCTTCCACTCCAGGGTGTTTCTGCTTTACTAGTACTTGCTCTGGAGACTGTCATGGCACAGAATACAGCCGAGGTGAGGCCCGGCACACATTTCAGCAGTAAAGATGCCTGGCATAGGGCTGGCAGAGAGTAAGGGCTGTGCCAAGTGGCAGTACGCAACCAGATGATCTCCCAAGACAGTAAGTACACGGAACTACCTAGAACTTGGGAAACGGCGTTCCCCAGAGGAAGTCACCTCAGCAGCAAGCACTGGGCGTACTCTCAGGACAACGTTCATCTCACAGCGGAAGAACGTGTCTCCTTCCTGCTGGGGGGCCACAGCAGCGCCGTCCTGCTCTGGGCGCCGGGCACGCCTCGAAGGTCCTCTTTCCGTCTCATTAGCTCATCCAGTGGGTTGTCAGAAACGAATGGAAATAAAAATCTGTGATGTGTGTGATGGAATTTAATTCCACTAACGGACCCTATAGAAATGGATTTAATACCAATGAGGGGGCCGATGCTGGGGTGACAGGGCAAAGGAAGTGGGGGGAGAGCCAGGAAGGCCGCAGCGTGTTAGTGACTGCGCCGTGGCTGCGTCAGCCCTTCACAGGGTGTGTGGTCTGATCCCAGCACAGGCCGTAAGTGGTGCAGGAGGCGGGCCCTGGGCTTCCCTGGAACTCCAGCCTCATCCAGTGCCTGACACACAGAGATGGGTAGTAAAGAAGTGCTTGTGGTGGGGTAGTGTGGGCGAGCAGGGGACACCTGCTCAGAGGAAGAGCTGGAAATAGGACAGGTGGGTCCAAGTGGTCAGCTGGCACAGAGCCGCAAGGGCAGCAGCTTGTCTGGGAACAAAACTCCGTAGGGAGCTGAGGCCGACAGGGCCTGTGAAGGCCGACAGGAAAGAAGTGGACGATCAAACCGGGTAGTGTGTAGCCCAGTGGTTCTCAGCCTTCCTAATGCCGCGACCCTTTAATACAGTTCCTCATGTTGTGGTCACCCCAATTTCATTGTTACTAATTGAACATAATTAAAGCATAGTGATTAATCACAAAAACAATATGTCATTATATATGTGTTTTCCGATGGTCTTAGGCGACCCCTGTGAAAGGGTCGTTCGACCCCCAAAGGGGTCGCGACCCACAGGTTGAGAACTGCGGGTGTAGCCACTTCCAGCAGAAGCACGAATTGAACACGGACAGCGATGCCATCTGCAGCTCTGGGGCAAAACCTCCAGGGACCAGATGAAGGGTCAGACCAGGGGTGAGAAATGTCTTTAATGAGGAATCACTGATCATTAAAATAATTCACCTGAGGGTGATGTTTAAAGTCACCTAATTTTAAGTTTGATGGGTGAATGAATTATGGGGGGTGGAGGGTAGCTAGGGAGTGTGGAAAAAAATACAAAATACGTTACTCTTTTAATGAGGAAAATAAGAATCAGCATTATTAGAATTAATAAACATGTAGTTCAAACACACAGAAACCAAAATCGAGACACATGGAGACACGCAATGGGGACACCTGTCAGCTAGCCACCCTGCGGGGCTCCGATGAGCCACACTCCCGCTGGTGAGCCCCGTCCTGGGTCTGCCTGAAACAATGGGTGTCCCCTCTGGCACTCCGCTCCGTCTCCATTGTACAAGAACTGAAGTGCTCTCTAGTCGAGGGGAACTGCTCACATTTCCAATTGTCTCTAGGAGCCTAAATGGCATTTAAAATAAGTGCTGTGAATTGATGAAATGACCAATTATGTTAACTACCCATGCCTGGTGTAATCCAAACCAAATCTTACCCCATTATCCTCAAAACTGCGAGGTGACTCAGCAGGCCCTCCTGCCAGCGATTCTGCAAGAACCAAAACACACAGGCCGCCCTCGAGTAGGACCTTGAGTACTTCAGTTAATTCTTGCAATTGGTTTTTGTGCTGGAAAATAAAATAACCGTACTACATTTCTCCTCAACAGCGTACACATTACGCAACTGCCAGACAACACTGCCACCATTATGTCATTTTGTCCCACTCATTCCATTATCCCCTCTTCTCTGTATCCCATTATTCTCTTTAAACACATCTGGTGTGTGTGATGTCATCCCAAAGTGCCCAAGTCCCTCGTTACCCGCACCTGCCCCCTGACAACCCTGTGGCTATGATGCTCTCCTGCCCGCGTACTCTCACTGTGGCCCCTTCTTGCAATGCTTTTTTCCCCATTTCCAAGGCCCCCATCCATCCATTTTTTAAGACTTCACTCAAGTCTCCCAAGAAGTGACAGCCCCTCTGCTCCCATCCCCCTGACAAAAGCAAGTGGGTCCTCTACACAATGTGACTTGTCCGCTTCCCTAGCTGCTCTGCATTCTAGTAGCTCAGCCCCAGAACCACTCCGCCCAGCAGGGCCTCCCCGTGCTGCTGGTTCAGTCAGCTCTGCTCCAATGCGGTCCACAGCCAGGCTGGGCTTCTGCTGGCTGGTCCCTGGGCCTGTGTCACCTGATAGAACAGTGGTTCTCAACCTTCCTAATGCCGCGACCCTTTAATACAGTTCCTCATGTTGTGGTGACCCCCAATTTCATTGTTACAAATTGAACATAATTAAACCATAGTGATTAATCACAAAAACAATATGTAATTATATGTGTGTTTTCCGGTGGTCTTAGGCGACCCCTGTGAAAGGGTCGTTCGACCCCCAAAGGGGTCGCGACCCACAGGTTGAGAACCGCTGCGATAGAAGCTTCGTCTTCTACCCCACTTCCCAAAACTGGGCCCTTTGGGGAGCCCTGCTCATCTGCAACCCACTCCCTGTGGCTGGAACCTGTTAACAGAGTTCTTGCCTATAATCTGATGTCTAGAAAAACGTCCTCCTGCTTATTCCAGGGAAAAAGAAGGTATGTGCGCATATTTTTAAAATGTAAAGTACAAAGATGAGAAAGCAAGTGTAAGTCAGGGCGTTTTCGTCTACCTGAGTCTAACCTGACCCTTCCGCTGGTAGGACAGGGCAGCCCCCTTCTTCACACACCGTTACCTTTTTGCAAAGCTTTTGCTTGTGGGCTTCAGCGAGTTCTTGATGAGCCCGTACCACCCACCAAAGAAACACAGAAATATTAATTAGGATAGTTCGAAAAACCTTGTCACAATAAGTGTCTGGAGAACTCTATAGACAGAGCTAGCAAATGAAGAAGAAATAGCACAGAAAAACAAAGTTGACAAATCCCGGCCCACACTCCCAAAGTCTCGCCAAGATCCTTCTGATTTTCACATGTACGAAGAAATAAATGGGCTGCACCGAATTGGATGTGGCTTCAATGAGCATCTGACATACATCATAATTTCATTCTCAATGCCTCGAGTAATTAGGATTGTTAACCCTATCAGGATGAGAAAAAAGGTCTCCCACCCACGAGACAGACTCTCAGCCAAACCACTCAACTTCAGAAACCTTATCAATGTTTATCCTCAGGCTTTTGCCTGAAACAACCCAAAAATAAGGTGCTTAGAGCAAATCTTACCTAATGTGAAACTCAATGACTAAAAATCCTAAAAGAAAATGCTCTAAGTAAATTAAACCCCTTTTCTGAAAATAATTCAAACACCAGTGATATTCATCGCTATAGATCTAGAGGGAAAGGGAGGATACACAGCCCTTTGAAATTCCCTGGAAGAAAGCCAAAGGCTCATCAAGGTCGATTTCCATATATACCATCTAAAGGGGGAACAGAGGAGATTTTATAAAAATTATGTATTAATTTCTGAAAGTGGAGGGAGTTCCCCTTTTTTCTTAATTAGGATGTCTATGGTGGTCATTAAAATTAGCATTACTCAAACCTGCCTGCCTAAGTTTCACCCTGTACCAAGCAAAAATGCAAAGACATTCTTAAGTTCCCAATTTCACAGGCTATTAGAGCGACAATATGCAATTGCATGGCCTATAAAACAACGACAAACATGTGACATCATTCAAACCTGTTTGAGCCACTCCAGAAACCTGAAGATAAACGTCACTTTTCTTAGCCACGTTTATATTCACCCACGTGGCCAGCCCTCAGTGTGAGCATTTAAGGACAAGAGGCTTAAACCAACCAAAATGCACTGGAATGCCTCGCCTTAAGCCCAGTACAGTTCTAAACCTCGTGGTCCAACCAAATCCACCTGATTTGGGCCCGTCGTGCCACTCTGACACCTGGCCAGTCAACAGAGGCTGGTGGCCCGAGGAGCCAGCCAATTCCAGCTGATCAATAGAGCAGATATCCAAAACAGCAATCACCCAAAAGTACTTTCTAGAAGTATTTAGCATGCAGCTTATTGCTATTTTAAACCATCTATTCTTCTTTAACTTTGGCTATTTCCAAAGAAATTTAATTGCAAAAGCCGAGATGAAAGTTTGAATTCCTCCAGCACAC